ATTTGTACAACCAAAAATCACCTGCATTTCACTCTGGAATTTTGTGGTAAAACACTAGAACAATGGAGGCCTGTGGGGTGACCAGCAGGGCTGTATGTAGCCTGCAGTAGCTGAGTAGTACTGACCATGTGCAGTTAGTCACAACTCTTCACAACTGCGCTTAGACTGCAAACATTTGGGCAGGCCTGCAACAGGCATTTTGTCGAAGTGAAAAGAGGTTTACAAAACGTCTACAGGGCACAGTCTTAAATTTTTACACAATTCTGCAAGTTTTATAATATTAAGCCGTCCTATTTTTTAACCATAAAGTATCAACATGTATGTATTTTCTGAGTGCTTATATATATATATATATATATATATATATATATATATATATATATAAATATATATATAAAAATGTGTTGTATATATATATATATATATATATATGTGTGTGTGTGTGTATATATATATATATATATATATATGTTGTGATGTGAATGGGTCCTGACTGATTTGTTCATCATTGGTGGTATAGTTTAGCTATATATTATGCCATGAAATGTGGTCCGGGCCACCCAAACTTTGCAGAGGATGTAAACTCCCTGTGACTGCAATATATGCTTGGCTATAAATGATAGTATTCCATAGTCAGTTGTGTTTAATATTTAATCTCTTTATTTCCCTAACTTAATTTTGGAAATTGTTTGAACTGTATGGGTAAATTAGAGGCTTGCTGTTTTCTTATTAATTGAAGATTAAAATATATTTTATGTTGAGATGTTAAATGTAACCCTTTTATGTCTCTCCCCAATAAAAAACACTTTGAAGCTGCTACTTAAGGCTGCTCTGTATTCATTAATTTTTTTTTTTTTTTTTATTCAAGCAGTATATGTACCCGAATGTTACCTGGTACTGGCCACTTGTAATCTCTGAACTCAGACTCCATGTGCTGCTTCCCCCTTTTTCCAGTCTGTCACCTGTGCTGACAATGCAAGAAGCATGCAGATAGGAGTAGATAGCAGAGTGACAGAGAAACAAGGTCTTCAGTCTGCTTCATCTTTTACTGCCAAATCATAGGGCAGTGGTGGAGAGGAGAGCTGTTGGTGTTTTTAAATTGCAGCAGAGAGGAATCAGGTCTCCTCCATGCTAAGTAAACCACAGCCATTTTCCATGGAATTGCTAACTCAATCATTTTACAGCGATTTGTAGTCCAAACATTCAGCCATTGAGATCGAGCAACAACTCGTGTCAGCAACCAGCTCGCCAATGACATTCGCCCTGCATTCACCTCTATGGCTAAAGCTGGTCATACTTTGATTGAAATTTGGCCGATCCAGCCAGGCCTGGCCAAATTCCGATCAATGTGTGCCCCCCCCCCCCCTCATTTCATTGTAATAATGCTATAGCATTCGCTTAAAAGAGGAGGTCTAAAATTAAAAAAAAAAAAAGTCACTCTCATCTAGGTAGATGCAGCATTGATCCATGCTGCATCTGTTCCCCACTGCCTCTAGGACTGAGAACTAATTGATTAAAGACCACTGATCACTCATTTCTCCCCCACTGAGCAGAGAGTTGTGACTGTCAGTCACCGGCTCTCTGTCCCTCCAGAGCTTACTGAAACGTCAATCTGTGGAGGAGGTGGGAGTGGATGGCTCAGGCTCTCAGTGGCTCGCTGAGAGGCTGAGCCAGCTGCCTTTCCAGGCATTTAGGTGGATCCTGACTTTAAATTCAAGATCTTTCCAGAGCCTTAATTGGCTAAGTTATGTGAGCTGACAGAAGGCTTTACCCCGCTGTCAGCTAAAAACGGGTCACAGGAGTGCAGAACAAAGTTCACTCCTGTGTGACCCATAGAAGTACAGCCAAAATGCTCCTCTGTCCTGACTTGGAGCGGTCATGTTCTTATATTGCATGGAAAAGATTCCAATAAAGGATTTCATCCACCACATTGCTGTTTGTGCGGCCAACCATTCTGTTTTTCCATTGCATCTGTGGTCATGGATCGGGCCAGCACCTGCGTGTCTGTGGAGGGGTTATGCAGATTCAGCACTCACCTGGACCGAATCTTTTGCTATTTCAGTACAGCGAAAATCGCTTTGCCCATACCGCTCCTTTAACTTGTAGCAGCGACCAATCACCAGCAGCTCTAGTGACTTAAAGCGGAGTTCCACTCGCCCTGTCAAAAATTAAAAATCAGCAGCTACAAAAACTGTAGCTGCTGACTTTTAAAAAACAGCCACTTACCTGTCCCTCAGTCCCGTGGGGTGTCCCCCGCAGCCCGTTTCACCAGCCGTCCTGTATTCCAGGAGGCCGGCATCTTTTTAGTGTGGGCACCCCGCTGTGACAGCTTGCGGCTTCACAGCCGGGTACCCACTGCGCATGCGCGAGTATTGCTGCCCTTCATGAATGGTCCTGTAGTCTTCTGGGACCTGTCATGTGTTCCAAAAAGCTACAGGGATGGGAGGACATCTTCCGTTTCTGATCGCCTAGGCAATTGGACCGGAAATGGGAGCGGGTACCTGTCAAATTCGGGTACCCGCTCCCCCGCCCCCCAAAGGTGCCAATCCTTAATGGGGAGCAGTCCTTAAAGCAGAACTTCCCCTATTGGGTGGAGCTCCGCTTTAATAGCTAGCTACAGATTCCGGTTAGTCGCTGGCATTAACGATTTGTATCGGCAATGAATTGCTGCTCTAAAACCGCCCTCCTGACATGGCCCCAAACAACTCCCATGTATGTATTTCCTTCCAGTATTTAGTTGTTTGGAGTTCAGCTTTGCAGAGCCTATAGAATTGAAGACAATGCAAGGTCTGTTAATGCAGCAGTGAAACTCTTTGGTCATTAAAGGGTTAACTGGTTTGGGTGTCCGGAAAACACAGGAAGTAAAAGCCGCGTATGCTCATGTACGTATAAGCGTGCATACAGCCTTCTGCCCTTTATTAACCCTTGGCCCTTACAAAAGTCTAGTGTTCTAACACTCGGGGTCCTGGTGAAGGAATGTTTCAGGAAATTCTGGTTGAAACTGACCCTGCTTGAAATGAGTTAACGGATGACAAGTCGTGTCATTTCTGCAGCCTGGCTGTAAAATGAGTAAATTCCTGACATATCCTCCATGACGTGCTGCCTCTGCAGTCAATTCCTGGTTAAATCTCAGTCCGATGGGTGGAGCCTGCTGTGTTTACCCCCTCCGTCTTTCAATACTGTCCCTTGTCCCCCCCCACCCTCTGTGTCTTGGTGTGGAATGGATCGGTTTTGCTCATTACAGAAGGTAGCCTGTGAAAGTGAAGGCAGTGTCTATATGACCACAGAGAATGTGCACCATTCACAGATGCAATCCTCTTTCTTCCTACAGGCTGGCCAACAGTGAGAAGCATGTAAGAGCACACGCCGTCTCCGTCTCAGGTAGGAACACAATCCGTCTGAAACTAGTGTCGTAAAACTTTCCTGAAAGTTTGCTAGCTGCTTGACTCTGCAAATGTTGTCTTGATGGACAAGCTCAGGGGTCAACAGCCTGGTGCAAATGGTAGACACAGGAAATCTCAGTAATGGCTCTCTAGGGGGACATGCTGGGACTTGAAGTTCTCCTACAACATGCAGTGATTGTTATAGACATCTGCTAACTTTTACTAGTCTAATATTCCCAGTCCAGTGACTTGATGGGCTTTCAAGAAACATGGAGGCTACCATTGCTGGCCTCTCATTTTTTTGAACGTTGTTCGCTTGGATCTAATGCTGACCCTTTTCACTTCAATACTTTGAATCGCAGACCTTGAAAAAAATATGTGGGTCGGAACTTCTGACATTTAGACTTTCTAGATCTACATATTTGCTCCAGGTTGGTCATTGAAAACCACTGAAGTCAATAGGCTGCTTCACTATATAGCCAAATGTTTGAGGATATCGGACCATCACACCTCTGTGAGCTTTGTGGACATCCCATTCCAAAGCCATGTTGGTGGCTATAATATCTTACACCTTGCTGGGAAGATGTTCCACAAGATTAGAGTGTGCTTCTGTGGGAATCTGTGCTCATGTGTGAGGTCAGGTACTAATATTGGTTCGCAGTTTGCTGTCCAACTCATTCCGATGGTGTTTAGTTGTAGTGGGTTGAGGTCAGGGCTCTGTGAACCACAATCAAGTTTCTCCACAGAAAACTCAGTAAACCATGTCTGGCTTTGTACACAGGGACACAGTCATGCTGGAAGAGAAAAGGGCCTTCACCAAACTGTTACCACAAGGTTGGAAGGGCGCAGTTGGCTAAATTGTCTTTGTATGCTGTAGCAGTACCCTTCACTGGAAACACCTGAACTGGGAGGGTTTTTTCGAGGGATGTCCACATTCCGTTGGCCATATAGTGTGCAACAGCCAGGCTTTTTCAGAATGAGTTCAGCACTGGCAGCCCTGCATGTATCTCATGACAGGTTTTCAATAAAGCTTTGCAAATTGCTGTAACCACTAATCGGTTTTCATTTATTTGGACCACCTAGGACAATGATTGGTGGCTTTGAATTCTGTACGTCATGTTGTAGGCCTCTTGTTAAAGAACCTAATCTTTGTGAAGTACATCTGTTCCACACTTTGCCATCAGCCAATATTTGAGCAAGTAGGGGTGATAGGCTAAAAACACCAGAAATAGTACGAGCATCTAAAAAAAATTTACGTATGTTGACACATTTTTGCATTTATCTGTTTTACTTGTAGGTTCTTTATTTATTAGTAGTAGTATTGTTCATCAAGTCTCTCTACCTTACACACTATGATCCTTTTTTTAAACTCATTTACATACTAGCATTTTTCCTTTGTTGCCTTATATTGTGCACGTGGTACCTATTCAGCCTATCTAATGTGTTTAAAAAAATGGCACTGAAATAGGATTTTTCCATTTTAAATTGTTACTAAACCCCGGACCTTGCATTCACTATATCTGGTATCCCTGGACCCTGCATTCACTATATCTGGTATCCCTGGACCCTGCATTCACTATATCTGGTTTCCCTGGACCCTGCATTCACTATATCTGGTTTCCCTGGACCCTGCATTCACTATATCTGGTCTCCCTGGACCCTGCATTCTCTACATCTGGTTTCCCCGAACCTGCATTCACTATATCTGGTCTCTCCAGACCTTGCATTCACTATATCTGCTCTCCCCGCCCCTGCATTCACTATATTCACTCTCCTCGGACTCTGCATTCACTATATCTGGTCTCCCAGGACCCTGCATTCACTATATCCGCTCTACCTGGACCCTGCATTCACTATATCCGCTCTCCCCGCGGACCCTGCATTCACTATATGCGCTCTCCCCGGACCCTGCATTCACTATATGCGCTCTCCCCGGACCCTGCATTCACTATATGCGCTCTCTCCCCCGACCCTGCATTCACTATATGCGCTCTCCCCGGACCCTGCATTCACTATATGCGCTCTCCCCCGGACCCTGCATTCACTATATGCGCTCTCCCCGGACCCTGCATTCACTATATGCGCTCTCCCCGGACACCCCCCGGACCCTGCATTCACTATATGCGCTCTCCCCGGACCCTGCATTCACTATATGCGCTCTCCCCGGACCCTGCATTCACTATATGCGCTCTCCCCGGACCCTGCATTCACTATATGCGCTCTCCCCGGACCCTGCATTCACTATATGCGCTCTCCCCGGACCCTGCATTCACTATATGCGCTCTCCCCCGGACCCTGCATTCACTATATGCGCTCTCCCCGGACCCTGCATTCACCCTCTCCCCGGACCCTGCATTCACTATATGCGCTCTCCCCGGACCCTGCATTCACTATATGCGCTCTCCCCGGACCCTGCATTCACTATATGCGCTCTCCCCGGACCCTGCATTCACTATATGCGCTCTCCCCGGACCCTGCATTCACTATATGCGCTCTCCCCGGACCCTGCATTCACTATATGCGCTCTCCCCGTACCCTTCATTCACTATATCCGCTCTCCCCGGTCCCTGCATTCACTGTATCCGCTCTCCCTAGACCCTGCATTCACTATATCCGCTCTCTCTGGACCCTGCATTCGCTATATCTTGTCTCCCCGGACCCCGCATTTGCTATATCTGGTCTCCCCAGACACCGCATTCACTATATCCGCTCTCTCTGCATTCACTATATCCGCTCTCCCTGCATTCACTATATCCGCTCTCCCCTGCATTCACTATATCCGCTCTCCCTGCGTTCACTATATCCGCTCTCCCTGCGTTCACTATATCCGCTCTCCCTGCGTTCACTATATCCGCTCTCCCTGCACTCACTATATCCGCTCTCCCTGCGTTCACTATATCCGCTCTCCCTGCGTTCACTATATCCGCTCTCCCTGCGTTCACTATATCCGCTCTCCCTGCGTTCACTATATCTGCTCTCCCTGCATTCACTATATCTGCTCTCCCCGGACCCTGCATTCACTATATCTGCTCTCCCCGGACCCTGCATTCACTATATCCGCTCCCCGGACCCTGCATTCACTATATCTGGTCTCCCCGGACCCTGCATTCACTATATCAGCTCTCCCTGGACCCTGCATTCACTATATCAGCTCTCCCTGGACCCTGCATTCACTATATACGGTCTCCCCGGACCCTACATTCACTACAATCCACTCTCCCCCCCGGACCCTGCATTCACTATATCTGGTCTCCCACAGTACACAGAACATGGGAATGCAATTATTTTAGTAAATGTAAACTGCTGAATACCTTTTCTCATCATCAGTTAGAGCAGTCTTGTGACTTCTATGAGTGTCCAGCAGAGCACTGGTTACACATTGTAGGAGGAGTTTTCATTCTCCCTGATTGTCCTATGAGGCTTCAGGACCCCTGACCCTCTACTTGGACAGCACTGATTGGCCTGATCACATGAACTCTCCCAAGGAAAAAAAAAAAGCTCTCTAGCAATACACACTAAACTGAGCATGTGCAGCTTGTCCCCAAGGCTCTGTACTATCAGCAGATGGATTGGGGACTGTGGAAGTAGGGGAGAGGATCAGAGAAGACAGATTCAAACATCCTTTTTGCACAATGTGGAGGATTAACCCCTTAGGTTCCACAGTGAGTATAACAAGCATTCTTTACGGCATATACAGACTGATTGTACTGTTGTGGGTTTAGTAACACTTTAATGCATTTATTGAGTTGAAGGAGTTTTACAAATCAAGGTAAAGGATGTATATTTTGTTATATTTCTGTGAGCAAAAGCAACGAATGAGAATAAAGTCAGTACAGAGACATCAAGCAAACTGACCATAATATGGTAGTACTGTAGACAAGGAAACCACTGGGGTATACGAGCGTGGTCCCATCATCTACAGCATGTGGTTGGTGACAATAAAAGGACATAAAGGATAACTAAACCCTAGAAAGAATGCAACATTTTGCAGCTTAGAGTCCTTAGATGTGGTTTCTGTTGATCCTGCCAGAAGTGCTGTGCCCTTTTAACTTCCTGTGAACTGCACTGAAGGATATCTTCCTTCCTAGCTATCTGCTGTAAACTACCAATTGTAATGTAATGGGATGAAGATATAAGGACATGTTTGTAGTCCATATCAGGAGAAAAGTATCGGGTAATAGCCATTTACTACCATATACTGCTAGGCAGAGCCAGACAAAGCAGTGTGCTTACAGTGTAAAGCACGCAGTAAAACAGCGCACAGTTAACCCTTTGATCACCCCAGATGTTAACCCCTTCCTGCCCAGTGTCATTAGTACGGTGCCAGTGCTTTTTGTTAGCACTGATCACTGTATTGGTGTCACTGGGGATGTCAGTGGCTTCAAATCAGTTCCCCCCCCCCCAGTGTCAGAATGCCCGCCGCAGTCCCGCTATAAGTCGCTGATCTCCGCCATTACTAGTGGAAATAAAAATCCCAGTATATATACCGCCATTTGTAGATGCTATAACTTTCACGTAAACCAATTAATTTACACGTATTGGAATTTTTTTTTTTTTTAGCAAAAGACGTGGAGCAGAATACATTTTGGCCTAAATTTATGACAAAATTTGATTTTTAAAAAAAATTTTTTACTGGACATGTTTAATAGCAAAATGTCAAAAATGTTTTTTTTTTCTCAAAATTGTCAGTCTTTTTTTGGTTATACCGCAAAAAAATAAAAAACACACAGGAGATCAAATACTACCGAAATAAAACTCCATTTGTGGGGAAAAAGGACGTGAATTTCATTTAGGTGCAGCATTGCATGACCGCGCAATCGTCAGTTAAAGTAACGCAGCGCCTTGCCGCAAAAAAATAGGAAGGGGGGGGTAAATCGCCTGGAGGGCATGTGGATGTAAGGGTACACAAGGGTGCGGGTACCTACCTGTGTAGCCAAGGCTTGTTGGCTGTATTGTTTTATAGAATTTCTGGGCAGGAAGTCAAAGCTGTGTTGGCAAGCTAAGTCAATTCATGGTGAGCCCCATTACCTATCACACAGACTCATTACCCATTTGCCTACCAGGGCAGTGTTTAAATTTTTACATACGTTAAAATCTTGGTAAAATCTAAAAGATTAGGTTGCACCGAGTAAATTGCTACCAAGCATGTTAAGTCAAATTGCACATAACCATAGAATCGCCAAAAACTGTGGTACCCAAAATTCTCCATCATCGATACTTTAACCACTTGAGCAATATTTTACCCCCTTTATGGCCAGGCCGTTTTTTGCTATTTGGCACTGCACTACTTTAACTAGCAATTACTTGGTCAGGCAACGCTGTAGCAACATGAAATTGATATCCTTTTTCACACAAATTGAACTTTTCTTTTGGTGGTATTTGATCACCGCTGGGTTTTTTATTTTTCCCGCAATAAAGAAAACTTTCTGTTATAAAACATAGCCAATAAAAAATGTTTTACATTTCTTCATAAATTTTGGGCAAACTGTATTCTGCTACATGTTTTTGATTGGAAAAAAAAAACAATCCCAATAAATGTATATTTTTTGTTATAGAGTCTACAAACTGTGGTGTAAATATACTGGAATTAGTTTTTTTTAATATTACTAACGGTGGTTATCAGCAACCTATAATGGGACTTCGATACTGCGGATGGCAATCTGACACTAACGGACGCTGGAGGAACTGACTGACATTGCCAGTGACACTAATACAGTGATCAGTGATAATACTATACATTGTCACTGTACTAATGGCACTGGCTGGGAGGGGGTTAACATCTAGGGCAATGAAGGGGTTAAATATGTGCCTAACTATGTGTAATGCGTGTCCTGTGTGCTGCTTTTACCAGCTGATCTTTCAGAAACTGGTGAAACGGGAAGGCGCTTCTAAGTGCAGTATTCCAGGTCAACTTTAATAAAAAGCGGCTAAAATCACAATGTAGTAGTACAATCTGTCAGTAGCAGGGCTCTGTCCTCTGAGCGATGGAGCCGCTGTGCGGCCATCTTTAACATCTCTCATTAAGCTCCCCCCGCAGCTGCTGGCTGCCACAGCGGCTCCATCGCTCAGAGGACAGATTCCTGCTACTTTTTAACCGCTTTTTATTAACCACTTCCCGTCCGGCCGTTGTATATAAACAGCTGGACGGTGGCAGTGCAGGGGGTCAGGTGGCCGTTTATAAACGGCTTCCCCGCCCCTGGCTTGTGCACGCAGCATCCCTGGGAGCATGCAGCACCGCGATCCAGTGCCCGCTGTGTCCTCTGGACACAGTGGAAAACCGATTGTCAGACGGGACCTCTGTGCGAGGTCCCGATCATGTGATCACTGATTGGCCAATCAGTGATCACATGCAGAGTGGTAAGCAAGATGTCACTTCTGACATCATTGCTTACTACGTAATCAGTGTAAAAAAAACAAAAAATCTTCATCACCCCCCACAAGTAGTACAGTGTCACCATGGTGACACTGTACTGCTAGGGTGGCAGTATGTAAAAAAAACCAACCCATTAATAATATAAAAAAAAATTTAAATTAAAAAAAGTTTAAAAATTATAATTTTTGGTTATAAACTAATTTGGGTTTTTTTTTTACTAAAAGATAACGGAATAAATTTTGGCCAAGATTTATGGTGAAATATTATTTATTTGCAAAATTTTATAAGAAAAACACTTTTTTTCAAAATTTTTGGACTTTTTCATTTATATAGCAAAAAAAATAAAAATCCCAGCGGTGAATAAATACCACCAAAATAAAGCTTCACCTTTCTCAAAAAAAATGCTAAAAAATTCGTATGGGTACAGTGTTTGCATGACCGCGCAATTGTCATTCAAAGCGTGATAGCGCTGAAAGGTGAAAATTGGCCTGGACAGGAAGGGGGTGAAAGTGTCACGACTGGTTGTGGTTAAAGTTGACCTGGAATACTGCACTTAGAAATGCCTTCCTGTTTCACCTTCTTCTGCACAGAGTTTGTATCCACTCTTTAGAAGTGCTGCTCAGTACCGATTTCCCTACACAGCAAGCAAGTAGTTGAAATCCTTTACATGTTGCCAGTTTACAGTTAACCATAATTTATAGTTAGAATTATTGATGGCATTCTGACATTCACGGTGATGCCTCACGTATGGTGCAACTGATGTTTACATACACATGCACACCCTATGCTACTTTATTTGTATGGGGGTGATATGTGTATATATATGTATACAGTTGTGTTAAAAATAATAGCAGTGTGTTGAAAGAAGTGAATAAAGCTCAAAATCCTTCTAATAGCTTTTATTTCCATACACACAAATGCATTGGGAACACGACACATTCTATTTTTCTTCATGTTTTGATTTGGAATAGATCAAATTTGTGTTGTTCCTCTAAAAAAAAATTGAAGAAAAGTGAATATTAGACGGTTCAAAAAAAAATCTCAGTGTTTGTATTCTTCTTTACAAACTCAAACATTCACTATATAAACTGAGAAATGTTTGAAGATTTTGCTTTCCTTTGAATGACTTCATGAATATTTGGTTGTAGTCGCACTGTTTCTGAGAACTGCTGTACATCTGTGTTGCATGGAGTCACCCAACTTCTGGCCCCTGTGATCAGGTATTCCAGCCCAGGATGATTGGATGACATTCCAACAGTTCTTCTCTATTTCTTGGTTTTGCCTCAGAAACGGCATTTTTGATGTCACCCCACAAGTTTTCTATTGGATTAAGATCCGGGGATTGGGCTGGCCACTCCATAACGTCCATCTTGTTGGTCTGGAACCAAGATGTTGCACGTTTACTGGTGTGTTTGGGGTCGTTGTCTTGTTGGAACACCCATTTCAAGGGCATTTCCTCTTCAGCATAAGGCAGCATGACCTCTTCAAGTATTCTGATGTATTCAAACTGATCCATGATCCCTGGTATGCGATAAATAGGCCCAACACCGTAGTATGAGAAACATCCCCATATCATGATGCTTGCACCACCATGCTTCACTGTCTTCACAGTGTACTGTGGCTTGAATTCAGTGTTTGGGGTCGTCTGACAAACTGTCTCCGCCCACTAGACCCAAAAAGAACAATCTTACTTTCATCAGTCCACAAAATGTTGCACCATTTCTCTTTAGGTCAGTCAATGTGCTCTTTGGCAGATTGTAACCTCTTCAGCACACGTCTTTTTTCCCAACAGTGGGACTTTTGCGGGGACTTCTTGCAGATAGCTTGGCTTCACATAGACGTCTTCTAATTGTAACAGTCCTCACAGGGAACGTCACACCTTCTTTCATCTTCCTGGAGCTGATTGTT